TTAACTAGAATTTTTAAAACGTTGAATTTTTATTTGTCCAAAATTTAAAATCACCTAATATAACTTACAAAAAGATTTCGGCGCGATTTTCAAAATTCGACTAATTTTCTTGATAATTTTTGATTGATCAAATTTTAAAAATCGCGCCGAAATCTTTTTGTAGGTTATGTGTTTGTTTGGTCAATTGAAATTGCGGTCAAAGAAAAATTTGTAATTTTAAAAATTTCTCTAAAATAAAAATACGTGTAAATAAAAATTTGAAAAAATAAAATTCGTTTAATTGGAAATTCAACAATTTAAAAAAAAAAATTTGAAGCATTTAAAATTTTTTTTTTTTAAATGACAATTATGCTTCATTAAAATTGGACTAAATTTAAATTCTCTGACGAGTAAAAAGTTTATATATAGTTATTTATCTAGGATTAAAATAATTCATAAATGAAATTGTTTCGAGGGATTTTCCTATTAATCAAAGAAAATAAAAATAAAAAATAAAAAAAAATGACATGGACTTTATATAAATGGGCAACTTTCAGCTCGATTTATCGGGAAAAATGCTTTTTACGACATGGTTTACCACTCCTCGTAAATTAAATAAAGCCGAGTGGACGAACTAGCGTTAAAAAAAAAAAAAAGAAATTGAAAGCGCACCCAAGTGACAAAAATAACGAAGGGATTTAAATTTGTATTTGTTCTACGAAGAACAAATACCGAGAATATGTCCCGTAAAAATCATTTGTAACACTAATTATTTATATTTGTTGAGAGAGGTAAAAAAAAAATTGACGCACAATTTATTTTAAAAATTGTAACCAAAAAAAAAAATTTAATTTTCAATTAAATTAAAATATTTTCCATAATTAAATTTTTTTTGCTTTCTCATAAAATAAAAAAAATTCTGATAAAAATAGTTACAAATAATAAAATTAAAGAAAATTAAAATTTTCGTTAATTTTTAAATTCAATTTTTACTAAGAGAAAAAAAACAAAATTTAAATCGATCAATTTTTTGTTCATTATCCATTTTCGTGAATTTACAAAAGAGAAATTTGTCGAGAGAAAGAGAAAAGAGTGGAGGGGGAGGAATTTTCAAGGAAAGTTTGTTCAATTCAAAGTTTAGAACCAAAAGTTTCGAGACTTTTCAACTCCTCGAAAAGTTTTGCTGTAAATTTAACTTTTACACTCTCAAGAGGCAATTTTGGGTTGGGTCAAGGAAATTATTTTTATTATTATTACTATTATTATTATTGTTATTATATTATCATAAATGTACTTTAGAATCTTTTACAAGACAATTTACAAGTTTGTATCTGATAATAATATAATATATATATATATATGTGCCATTCCAGGAGTTTTTTAGCACTTTTCGGAGTAACCTTTCCAAATTAAATGAAACATTTTTTTATTAATATTTATTAATATAAAGGTCCAAAAAAATCACTTTTTAAGTAAAAACAATTGTTTATTTAAAAAATACAACAATAAATAATGCAAAAAATTCACTTTTTTCCTGCAACTCCAAATAAATTGGTTTAAAGATCAAAATTTTCCTTATCTTTCAAGCTTTAATACCGCACAAGAAACATTGAGTCCGAGAAAATATTCAACTCACAATTTTTTAAACAATGTTTGTTTACTTTTTTGTATTTTATTTACTGTGAAACGTCTGCTAAAGCTGCGCGCGACGTTTGGAAGTTGTCGCTTTCCTTATTGAGCAGAAGCTCATTACACTAGCGTAGTAAAAAACATGTTGTGTGAAAAGTGAGGTTATGTTGTCATTAAACGAAACGTAAAAATTTCTGGTTATCACATTGAATGGTTTTTAATTATCTACTTTGCAGTAAAAAATCATAAAAAGCATTTTTGAAGGATGAAAAACCTCACTTTTCACACAACATGTTTTTTACTACGCTAGTGTAATGAGCTTCTGCTCAATAAGGAAAGCGACAACTTCCAAACGTCGCGCGCAGCTTTAGCAGACGTTTCACAGTAAATAAAATACAAAAAAGTAAACAAACATTGTTTAAAAAATTGTGAGTTGAATATTTTCTCGGACTCAATGTTTCTTGTGCGGTATTAAAGTTTGAAAGATAAGGAAAATTTTGATCTTTAAACCAATTTATTTGGAGTTGCAGGAAAAAAGTGAATTTTTTGCATTATTTATTGTTGTATTTTTTAAATAAACAATTGTTTTTACTTAAAAAGTGATTTTTTTGGACCTTTATATTAATAAATATTAATAAAAAAATGTTTCATTTAATTTGGAAAGGTTACTCCGAAAAGTGCTAAAAAACTCCTGGAATGGCACATATATGTTGAGAAAGAAATACTCGCGATTGAAAAATTTTCAATCGAGTCCCGCCTCTCTTTTAAATTCAATTTCCTTTTATTTTATCAACTCAATTCAATTCCAAGCTGCGTTTTTTTTTCTATTCAACGTTAAACTTTTATAGAAAACAAAAAAAAAAAGAAAGAAAAAAAAAAGGTTTTTATACAATATCTCTCGTACAAAACATGTGCTAAAAACGTTTTTAATTACTGCCTAAAGCTCCTTGGGAGAATAAAAATGCAAAAATAAATAAATAAAAAAAAAAAAAAAATTTGAAATCTTTTTTTAATTAAAAATTTTTTTAAAAAAAATAACAATAATCAAAATTGACGAGTTTTTCAAAAGGTTTTTTTTTTTTTTAGTGAAAATTTATATCAAATAATAATAAAAATAAAAATAATAAAACGATATAAAATTTAATTTTTATATATTATGTATATATATGTATAAATTGAAATTACTTTTCCGAGTTTATTGGATATTCAGTGTGAGAGAAAATCTTAAATGGATTTTTAATCAAGAATTTTCCAAGTGTAAAAAGCAATTGAATATTTAAGTATCGAAATTTGAAAACGATTCAAATCAGCAAATAATTCACAGACTTGAAAGCTTTTTCTATTTTCCAAGGATTCTACTTTGAATGAATTCTTTCTTTTCTTTTTTTTTTTTTTTTTTAAATTTCTTCAAATATCGAAATTAAAAATGTCATTCCGAGCAGAAAAAAAACTTGCAAATGATTTAAATATTTATAAAAAAGAAATAGAAAAATTATTTTTTTGCAAAAAAACATTTTTTATTTTGTAAAATTTTTTTTATTTATTTTTTAAAGTATTTTTTACTTATTTATCGGAAACCCCCCCCCCAAGTAACGAGTTTTCAATCAAAAACGACTAATTTTTAATTTTTGCTCGCCATATTTAAACCGGCATTTTGTATTTTTCAAATCCGACATCATATTCGTAATCAGCGAGCCTGAAAACCCCCAAGTAACATATTTCAAAAGAATCCTGTGGATATTCAATTTTTTCATCCGCCATATTGGATCCGCCATTTTGAATTTTGAAAATTTGACATTATATTTGTAATTACCGACCCCGAAAACCCCCGAGTAACAAGTTTCAAGCGAATTTGACAGATTTTAAATTTGTTCGACCGCCATATTGGATCCGCCATTTTGTATTTAAAAAATCCGACAATATATTCGTAATGAGCAACCTCGAAAACCCCCGAGTAACAAGTTTCAAGCGAAACAGACGAATTTAAAGTTTTTTGACCGCCATATTGGATCCGCCATTTTGTTTTTTCAAAATCTGATGCCAAATTCGTAATCAGCGACCCCGAAAACCCCCGAGTAACAAGTTTCAAGCGAATCTGACAGATTTTAAATTTGTTTGACCGCCATATTGGATCCGCCATTTTGTATTTTAAAAATCCGACAACATATTCGTAATGAGCAACCTCGAAAACCCCCGAGTAACAAGTTTCAAGCGAAACCGACGAATTTAAAGTTTTTTGACCGCCATATTGGATTCGCCATTTTGTTTTTTTAAAATCCGACATTATATTCGTAATCAGCGACCCCGAAAACCCCCGAGTAACAAGTTTCACAAAAATCTGACAAGTTCTTTTTATAATACCATTGTTAATTCTTTTACTTTACTTGAAACTGGATTCTTGGAATTTTTCAAGGTCACGAATTATAAGTCTGCAAATTTTGAAAATTCAAAATGGCGGATCCAATATGTCGGAAGACAAAAATTAAAAATCCATTGAATTCACTTGAAATTTGTTACTCGGGGGTTTTTAGGGTTGCTGATTACGAATCTGATATTAGATTTTAAAAAGACAAAATGGCGGATCCAATATGGCGGGAAAAAAAATTAAAATGAATCAAATTCGCATTAAACTAGTTACTCGGGGGTTTTTGGGGTCGCTGATTACGAATCTGATATTAGATTTTAAAAATACAAAATGGCGGATCCAATATGGCGGGGGAAAAAATTAAAATGAATCAAATTCGCTTAAAACTTGTCACTCGGGGGTTTTTGAGGTCGCTAATTTCGAATTTGGCATCGGATTTTGAAAATAAAAAATGGCGGTTCCAATATGGCTAACTAAAAGTTAAAAATCAGTCGTATTCGCTTAAAACTTGTCACTCGGGGGTTTTTGAGATCGCTAATTACGAATTTGGCATCGGATTTTGAAAATAAAAAATGACGGTTCCAATATAGCAAACTAATAGTTATAAATCAGTCGTTTTCGCTTGAAACTTGTTACTCAGGGGTTTTCTAGGTCGCTGATTAAAAAATTTCGGCATTAGGTTTACAAAATTCAAAATATCGCATTCAATGTGACTAAGAAATTTTGTTTAATTATCAAATTTATCTAAAACAACATAACAGACCATAAATCTATTATTGAAAATCAGTGGAATTTCACAGATTTTAACATTGATTGAAATTTACAAAAGAGAGAATTTAGAGAGACAGTCAAATGAAAATTACATTTTGATAACTGTCCTTTTTGGGAAAATTTGCCGCATGTGTACTCAACAAATATATAATAATAATAATTGTGTTTTCAATGGATGAACACAATTTGAAAATGCTTTCACCGTTAAACTAAATTTATATATATATATATATATAGAAATCTGAAATTTACTTACTATTGGAGCGTGCCTGTGAGGATTGAACTACGGGATTATTGTTCGCTTCGGCGTTGTTCTGTTGTTGAACACGATCCGTAGTGATGTTGGCAGAGGTCATCAAATTTGATGACTTGGACGACCAGTTGGTACACGCGTCACAGCCTTCCGCAGAACGAGTTGACATCCGGCAACAGGACCACCGCCTTCCGTACCAAAGACCCGTGTGATAACGACCACTGAGACTAGAATTCTCGTTGCACACTATACATAGAATGAAATGAGAAAAGTTCTTTTCATATATATGAATGGCTATTTTCAAAACCACCCCCTACCCTCCCACCCCGCAACGACGCCTAACGTATATATATATATATATAACTAAAAGCAACCTAGCACAAGCATTTCCAATGAAACTGGAACGCTGATGGCTCCAAAATTTCCATACAAACGGGCCAACCCTCTCTCTTTCAATATATATCTCACTCGCGCGCTACTTCAACCCTCATCTTTACTTACTTGGGTCAATAAAATGAAAATTTACATTTACTCACGATTAGCGTATACATTTTTTTTCTTTTTTATATCACAAATTCATAATTATTAATATTCTAATTCAAATATTTAACGAAAAAAAAAAGAAAAATTGGAAAACTTGTTGAACTTACTCAATTAAATTCAATGTGTAAATTTGAATTTGCAAATTTTCCCAAAGTTATACCGCGAAAATTGAGATCTCTTTTCACCAGTTAACTTATTAACCATCAAATAAATGAATTTCCATCTCTTGCGCGAAATATTTAAATAGAATTTATATTTAACATTTTACCCTATGGCATTTTGAATTGTTCAGCTTTTTGTTTCGTAAAAGAGCAAATATATATTTTTTTCATCATTGGCAATTTAATTAATATGAAAAAAAAAATTTTTTGTTTTAATTAATACAAAGAGAGAAATTATATAAATATATAGTATGGGGAAAAATATATCTAAAAGTCATTTTGAAATTGAAAAGTTATTCAAAAATAAAATTGTAAGATCAAAAATTTTCAAGGCTTTTTAATTAAGAAATTTTCGAACTTGAAGTATTATTAATCATCGAAGATCCACGAACTTGTTATATATATATATATATAGTCGTTTCAATTAACAAAGTTTTCAACTCTTGTGGAGTCCTTTTAATCAATAAATCTTAAAACTCACTTCCAATTTATCAACGCGCTTTCAACTTTTTGATTAAAAATTATCGTATAATTTCAATATTTTAAAATTATTATTATTTTAACTGAATTTTTATCCAATTTAAAATTTTTTACATCTTCCTTTTCTAAGAAAACAAAAAAAAAAATTTGAATTAAGGCACTATATGTGACGGCCGAAATTTTAGGCTTTTATCAGCAATTTTTATTTTCTGAAGAAAATAAAATATAACTCTACTGCTCTTTTTACTGTTTTGAACTATCGTAACGAAATTAAAAATTAAAGATAAATAAACATGTATTTATATACTCGGGTATAAGGGAATGACTGCGCGCGCATCAGGCAAGGAGTGGGGGAAGCGTGTGACTGTTGGATCTCGTGCGCCGCTCCAATAGCCACACGTTTCCCCCTACTCCTTACATGATGCGCGCGCACAGTCTTACTCCCCTAGAGTCGAAAGTAAATTGAGATTTAAAAAAATACTAACAAAAACTAATAGTAGAATAATTGTAAAAAATAATCACCAGATCGAATAGCGCGAATCCACTCGCTTCTTTCCTCTTCTCGTGCTGCAAGAAGATAAAGTGTATAATCCTGTGCAGTCTCACGATAACCCACTTGAAACGGAAAGCCAGCAGGTGCACCGCCACTTCCTGTTCCACTGGAGCTTGATACCGAATCACTTCCGTTAATCTCGTTGTTACTACCAATCCCAAGATTGGCGACCTCAACTATATGGACATTTTCCACGGCTATTCTGCCTCGCTCCTTGCGTCTCTATAATCAAAATCGATACTTCATTAGGCATTAGGAATAGCCTATATATCCCAAATTACCCCCGATTTGATTTCGATCTCTAATTTATTGGACGCGCCAAATCCCTTCGCACGAAATCCCACTGGGAATCTCTCTCTGTCAAATTCTAATTCGGTAGGAATTTTTTTTTTCGAACCGAAAAAAAACATTTTATCATTTAAGAAAACCACACAGTTATAAAATGCATAATGAATAAAAGCGCTTAGAAAGAAATATGGAAAATATATTCCAATTCTCCGCGTCGTTTTTCCTTCCAAGCTGAAAATTTATGATAGCTCACGTTTTAAGACTTAATTTCTGAGAATTGAAATTTTCAAAGTGTGAACGCACACGGGAATAATAATAATAATAATGCAAAAAAAAAAAAAATGAAAAACTATGTTCCATGTGGATAAAATTTCTGGATGCGCGCGGTCGTTTTATAAAATCCTTGCTCACGCGGGAAAATCTCGTTTGCATTAATAACTTTGTGGTCTACTTTTTATCAGTGTATACAGGAGAGGAGAAGAGGTCTGCGGATAATTATGTTGAGATTCGTATATGATTATAATATATTCTGCACGCGACCCAATTTTACCGCAGATGATTAACTCTTGATGTTTGTACAATGAATAATGTAAAATGCAAAAAGCACATTGTTGAATATATAAATAAAAAAAGGGTATGAGGGGATCAAAAAAAAAAAATTTCGACAATCTACCAATTTCGAAACTTTGGGATGTTTGGACTCATGTGCAGGGGTTTTTTTTTAAAGCAAATAAATTAAACGAACGGTTTATTAATTAATTGAAAAAGCCCCGACATTTTCAGTCGTTTAATTATAAAACAGTATTGATGATGTTAATATTGATAATTATCGCTGATAATAAATAATTCCAATTATTAACGACACGTGGAAAATTTGTATTTTAACAGAAAATGTGAAATAAAAACTGTAGCATCAATAAAATTCTATATATATATATATATATTTTTTTTTTTCGCTGTACGCTTTTAGAAAATAGAGTAAATTTATCAGAGTTGACAAGAAAAAATTACTGACGATGCATTTGGATTTTTGCAGGAGAAAAATTTTGAATGAAAAATGTTTGGGTTTAAAAATCTGGATATTAGAAATCAATTAGGTTTAGTATAGGGTTTCAAAGTTTATACAATCGAAGGTTGATTGAGTGTTAAACTAATAACATATAAAGATATGAATGGATCATCAAAAGATATAACCAAATTAAAGCTGGTTTATAAGGTACCAAATTTCAGATTCTCCTTTTATGGAGTATTGATTTCCTTTTCGATTTGTAAATACTGCCCCTTTTCGGATCGAATCAAAATTTAAATAATTTAACACCAACAGTGATAAAATTGAGAGAATTCACAAATGTTGAAATGACTTTTCGGCAACTTCTTTCTTTCTCTCAGTAAACCTTGAAAACTTCAACAGCACACAAATTTCAACACAATTAGAACTGCAACAATTTCAACAAAATTGACAAGCACCATTCACATCTTGTTTGAAGTTTGTATTGTAGTTTACAATTAGAGGCAACTCCGAAATCTACGAAGAAAATAAACTCAAGATATACGATGGTGATGATGATGATGGGTGGAAATTGAAAGTTCCTTGAAGCGTGCAACTGTGGAAGGTAGAGTTAAAGGAAACTGGAACTTGAAAATGTTTGTTGGAAAGATGAGCTGTCTGCAACTACTTTTCCTCCCTCTTTTCAAGTACTTGAAGACATTCCCTGTGTATTTATATAGGTATTCAAGCAACCGGCGAAACAATACTTCCAATTAACTTTCAAATTGATAACCTGACTTAAATTGTGGTCACAAAATAAATGGATACGACAAACTGCTAATCTTAATTCTTCTTGGAAGTTGCTAACTGCTGTTCACTCCACACCCTCTACTTTATATATATATATATATATGTATATACTTTAGAGAATGATTTAAGGTAATGACCTAAATTATCCCCGAGGCATCGAACCCGTGTGAGTGATCGTTCCAACTTATTCTTGGCTGATGGCAAAAGAGGATCGATCAATATTTCAAATTGCTTCCCAAAATTTCGTTATTGATGAACTTTATCCAACATTTGGGTTGAAAGAGTCCTTATTTAACAGAATTTTCATCATATCGATTATTTATTCAGGGGAATTTGTTTTTAATCTAATTTGGCATATATTATCATTTTGATGCAGGAAAAATTTAACTAAATATTAAAAAATTGATACTCTTGTGCTGATTTTGTTAAGCTGTTATCCACTCAAACAAAGTGATTTTGAAAATTTTGTACAATGAAATCTATAAAATACAGAAGTGTTTATATAAAAAAAATTATTTGTGGCAGTATTGCAAATTTTCTAAAATTGGTTTCGGACTTAAGTGGATTTTAAACAAAAATTTTAGGTAAATAAAAATAGATTTGTGGCAGTATTGCAAATTTTCTGGAATTGGTTTCGGACTTAAGTAAATTTTTTCCACAAAATTTTCGGTAAATAAAAAAAATTAGTGGCAATATTGCAAATTTTCTGCAATTGGTTTCGGACTTGAGTGAATTTTAAATAAAAATTTTCGGTAAATAAAAATAAATTTGTGGCAGTATTGCAAATTTTCTGCAATTGGTTTCGGACTTGAGTGAATTTTAAACAAAAATTTTCGGTAAATAAAAATTGATTTGTGGCAGTATTGCAAATTTTCTTGAATTGGTTTCGGACTTAAGTGAATTTTTTACACAAAATTTTCTGTAAATAAAAAAAATTAGTGGCAATATTGCAAATTTTCTGCAATTGGTTTCGGACTTGAATAATAAATACAAGACTTGAATATTAAAACCAAATGATTTAAAAAATTCTAAACAAGGGAATCTGTAAAGTAGAAATTCATACAAGATTATTGAAAAATATGTATAACGCGACACTCAAAAATAGAATCTCTTTTCCTGCAGGGAAATATTGATTGAGTAAATTTGGGAGGCGAACCAGAAATAATTCATTGAATCAATATGGAATAAAGTTTCTTTGGACAGAAGTTGCTGCTTCATTGGGGTTGCGAATCTACTTCAAGTGGCAAGAGAGAGAGAGAGAGAGAGAGAGAGAAAGAGACAAGAGTTTAAACGGGTGGTTTAAGTGAATCGATTATGTGCTGCTTGGAAGAGAAATGTCAAGACGAGTTGAGGACTTCGTTAGTGGGAGAGAGAGAGAGAGAAAGAGAAGGTGGAGACAAAGTTTTCGATGCAACTTGCAAGCCCTTGCAGTTTGGGTCTTGGAAGAAGAGTACGCGAGACACACAGCACCGCTGATTAGTCATGCACAATTTAAATCAACTTGATCCATCTTCCGTGAAATCATCCGGAAATTAGAAACCAACTTCCTATATATAACACTTAAAATATACACGCGCACAGTAGTATAACACAAAATGTCAAGAAGAAGTTCTTGTATGAGAAATTCTAAAATTATTTCATAAATAATAAAAAATGAACTGGAAATTCACTCGACATGAACCGGAACAAGTTTTTGGAAACTAGTTTCATATGCACTTTTAGAGAAATATTTCATTTTAATCATAGCAAAAGATTAAGAAGCCACATTTTTCTTGCATGAAAATATTATTTTAGGTTTATTTCTTTAATTTGAAAAATTTCCCATTAAAAACAAATTTAAGTAAAAAAAAAAATCAAAATCTGGAGATTAAAAAAAGAATAATTAAGAAACAGGAAAAAATTATTGAGAAAGAAACAAAAATGGAGCAAAAAAAAAATGTTAGTACTCTTCAATTTTCCTCTTTCATGAGAAAATTTCTTTGCTCATTAAAAAAAAATTTTCTTAACGCGTGTCCTCTCTTCTTCTCTCTCTCTCTCTTTCTCTCTTCATCCTTTACCGATATTTTTTTCTTTAGAAAAAAATTTTTTTTTTACTTTGAACTTTATTAAGCTCTAAGGACCACTTTATCTTTTCTTGCTCCAATTTTCAAATCTCTTTTTAATCTTTTAAGAATATTGAAGGTAGAAATATAAAATAATAATCATAAAAAAACAGAAAATAACGGGAAATAAACTAGAGACGATACACACAACAGAGAATAGTATATAAGAGGATTTCAGCATCTTTTTCACAAGAGAGAGGGAGAGAGAGAAAAGAAAGGCAATTTTTAATTAAATGATAAATTTTTCATATTTTTTCATTTACCTAAAAGGATTTTTATTATTTTTTTTTCAAGTATTTTTCTCATGAATATTATATTACACTAAGTTTGAATTTTTACATAAACATTTTGTGAAAATTATTTTAAATTGAGAATTTTTTTAAAAATATTTTTTAATTAAACATTTTTTTCTACTTTTTAATAAACATTTTCGTTTAATTCGATTTAAATCTAATAATAAAATACAAGAATTGAAAATCATATTTTATTGAATGAAAAACAAATTAAGAATTTTCCTTTTTACAAACTGGTTGAAATATTTTTCTTTCCGTTAAAGTGAAATAAAAAGAGAAAGAAAAAAAAATTGAAAAAAAAATCAGAAAACAATCCAGAACGCAGATACAAAGCAGAAAATATCATGGACTGAAATTATAAATCATTCTGCATGAGAGAAATATAATTGCAATTAGAAAATGCTATCCAACCTTTAAAAAGGAATAAAATAAAAAAAAATGATTGCAGTATTTTTCATTAAAAAAAAAAAATTCAGCAAATAAAATGGAATGAGAAATTATAGAATTTCATACAAAAAAAATATGGGGAAAAAAAACTCCAAAATACAAAAGTTGAAATTAAAAGACGGCTTTTGAATTTGAAAATCTAATTATTAAAAAATCAAAAAGCAATCTAAAAGTTGTTGATAAAATTATTTGAAAGAAGTTTTTGAGTGCCAGAATCTAAGCGCATAATAATTCCATTTCGAAACATGAGTATAGTTAAATTGAAGTCAAGTATAATTATAAAAAAAAAATAAA